AAATCAAGTATACTTGTTGGAAATGATGAGCATAATTTTTGATCAAACAATAGGTACAAATATTCATATTTCCAGCTCATATCGTAGGTATTGAAGTGAATTGTGTGAATTGTATGATATTCGAATGAAAGATTTCCATTAAAAAATTCACGAAAAATATTTGATGTGATGAATCGATGACATCTGATGACAACTTGGTAACATTTCGTATTGCCCTACTCTTAGCTTCATCAAATCATTGGCTGGCTCACAGTTTTCATTCTTATTTCCGTCTCATTCCTTTAATTTCCTTTCTGCTGGATGTTCCTAACTGTTAGAATATTTTGGCTCCTATTACAAGCAAATTTATATTTCATTCGGGTTGGATGAATAAAATTATCCTTGCAAATAGTGCTGAAACTACTACACATCAACAACATGTACAAGCACAGTAACAGAGAAATGAGATCACAGCTTAATGATTATTCTAAGAAAGTTACTACCACCATCATTAAGAGAGGAAATTTCGTGAGCCAGAACTTATCAGTAGCAATAAATAACAGTAACAATAGTGGTAGCAGCAGAAGCAATAATTAGTTTGAAATACTAATTTAATATCCTATCCACTGAAGAAAATCTTCCACTACCATTGTACATTTAACGGATCGTCGGATTTATAAGCAGCTGGATGTTCTGGTAGATTCCACTGATTTACCGATTCGTCACGCTGCTGTTGGATGGCACCATAACCTCGTTGTTGTGGAATATCGAAACTCTGTTCAGTGATATCATCATTATCACTGCCATTGGTACCAAATAGTGCCTGCTGCTGCTGTTCTTTTGGTCGTTGTTGCTTTTCTTCAAATGGTTGATATATATAGACTTGTCTCAAAATCGATAATACCGGTGTATAAGCAATATTCAAAACAAAAATAATAATATTTAGAGCCAGGAAACCCATCGTTGCGACAATTTCTCCAGCAATAATTGGCCCAAATGCATATGCCAAACTGTAAGAGATATCAGCAATGGCGTAAACACTACCGTAAACACTGACATGACGAGTATCAACCAAGTATCCGAGCATTGGTAGCAGTGATGTATCAATCAGGGCAATTCCGAAACATAATGTTGAGAGGGGTAGGATCAGTTGAAGGACGGAACTGGTGAAGGGTATCATGAAACAACTGAAGCCTTCCATAGCTAAACCGATCGCTGCCAAAAGCCACTCTTTTTGTGGGTAACGATGCATGAGACGAACGGTGACGTAAACACCCAAAACGTGTGGGAAGAATGGTGGAAACCATATGATGCCAACCATCCATGCCGGAGTGTCTGGGATAGCATTAGCTATCCAGGTTGTGATTGTTGGTTCCAAGAATGCCAAACTGATGTTTGCTGTGATAAGGGCACCTGCACAGATGGCAATATATTTATCCATAAATAGCCGCCACATTGGTGTACCATGTATTCGTTCACCGGCTGTATTCATTTGTTTATTATTGGTTTTCGGTTGAATGACCATGAAAACCATGAATCCATCAAAAAGACATATCAAGGATAAAATCAGGAATGGTATCGGTTTCCCGGCTAGTGAATAAAGGACAGAACCGTAAGGCGGTGCTACCAAGCTACCGAATGATATGAATGCTAGAGCGATACCAAGCGCTGCTGATCGTTCATTTTCTTCTGTGAAGCGATCAGCAATCATCGCAAGACCGGAAGTATCAGCAAATGCGGAACCAAATCCCTAAAACTGATTGTTTAAATAACTACATCTGGCAAACGGTTAAAGTAACATTTTATCGAATGATTTCACATTTTTTATTCTCATTTAAATTTTCGAATTCAAAGAATATTATTATTTCTTCAAATTATATGAATTTTTAAGAAATAAAATTAGTGAAAAAACGAGTGTCAACTTACTTGTAATGATCTGGCAAAAAACAATACGCCATAGCTTCGTCCCAATGCAAAAATAGCTGTCGAACTGAACATTACGCATAAACCGATAACCATCGGTAATTCATAGCCAATTCGATCGATGATATACCCAGAAAATGGATTAACAAAAATCTGAATAAGTGCTTTGGATGCAAATAGCCATCCAAGTCCAATATCCTCATTCAAATAGTCAATTTCACCACCAGTCATACGAACAACAACAGTACCATTTTTCAACTTTTTCGTTTCATTATGATATCCAACAAATTGCACATCATAAGCATGAATATCCCGCAGATATTTCGGAATTATCGGTACAATCACCATATACAGCATATTATCAAGCAGCAAAGCAACAGAAACAATAACAAGTACGAGCTTTTTTTGTATATGTGGTTGTTTGATCCTTTGATCCAACCATTCACGACACCAATCACTATCACGATTGATAATTGGTACATTGAAGCCCATTGTTGCAGTAATACCACAAAAATGTAGCAAAAGTGGTTGAAGTAAATTATCAAATCAGCAAGAAAATGAATGAATTGATTGAAATAACAGGATCTGTTACTGGAATTGAATATATCTTTTAAAAAATTTTCCCCAACCGGGTTGAAATTGTGCGTTAGAAAATTGGAATTGATTTTATGAGGACGATTTTCCTTTTTTTTTCTTCTTTTTTTCCCCTCCGTCTTACTCCTCCTTCTCTCTTATATCGTCCCCTTGTTTTCTTTATTAGAGGCGTGCTTTCATTAGTTAGAGCTAGATGGATGGGCGTGTTAATGCTATAAACTTTTCTCACAAATTATTGTTTAAAACCGGGAATTTTACGGATTTATGTGAACAGCACTTCCTGAACTGAATTTATGTGATGGCGATAATAGACGCACTGATAAAGCTTTCCTTGAATTTGCTGATCGGGAATCAAAAGTTACCCCGTAATCGAATCAATTTTAGTGAATTCCAAGTATGATGTTGGATTCAGAATTCGGAATTTTAGTTTCAAACTGTGGCTAGTTGTTTTACCACCGAGTTTGTATGCATTTTCGCCCACACATCCCTAAAATATTTCATCATTACTTTGCATTTGTAGCCACTTTCTGTTAGGTTGTATGCCGCAAATAATTACTGGTTGTTTCACTTTGTTAAATTACTGCTAACAATTTGTCAGTTAAAATCAATAATACTGATGATAGAGTGCACAGGATGGGCAGCTGATTACTAAACATTGAAGCTATTTAGGGAAGCCTTAAATGAGGAAGGATTAATCTTACAAACTTCCAATGATCAACTATGATGCATACGGAAACTGATTTTGACCAGGAATTGAGGTAAAGACAAAATTCTTCCAAGAGTTCTGAGTCAACTTTGAGCCTGAACTCTTTTCTTTCTAATTCATTCCTACTTTCAGTCAGCTAAATCCAACTAATCTAGACTCTGAATAAACAAAATACTGGAAGTGTTGTGTTGCAAAGCAGGCCGAGTAAACGCTGATATGAAGGAAGTAAATATTATTAAGTGAAAATTTAAAAAAATTTCCTAAAATCCAAAGCGAAATTCTCTATCGCTTGTAATATTTGTAAACGAATTGTAATGTTGTGAACTTTCTTCAGTTTCATGTTTCCCAGTGAATCTTCGATATTCCCAGTTTCAATTAGGTTGAATGGTTGGCGTCAAATGGGGTATGCTTTGGAATCAAACTTAAATTTAAATCAAAGCGGAAGATACGAGTCTTTCACCTATTTACTTAGGTATCTTATAAAGTTGCTGATTTAAACAAATCAGGAAGATATCATACTCAGACTAACAAATATGTACCATGCCATTTCTTTCCAAATATTGGATAATAAATTGATTGCGAAAGCATAGCTTTCAAAGCTATAAAATAAAATTTCGTATACCAATAATGCAGAGGCAAAATTCAGTCTCAAAATACGAAATAACGAAAGGGAATGAAATTATACTTTTTACGAAATTTAGTAATTAAATTCTAAAATTTCCTTCAAATTTAAATTTCCACTTTAAAAATTTTTAGAAACCTTGTAATAAAAATTTTTTTGCTAATTTTGTTATTGCCGAAAACAATTTATGAAGGAAAAAATAAAGCAATGAAAATACGAAATTGCATAGAAAATTCTCCACTGAATTTCAAATATTTATGATCGTAGTCAAAATTTCCACAAAACAGATATGTATTTTATTTTGAACACAAAAAGGTTGGAACTTTTCCCACTGTCCTGAACAACCGGAAACGACCAAATTTTAGGTTTCCGCTAATCTTTAGGGATCTCAACGATATGAACATTTTTCGTATTCCACTGATCAGCGACCTCATCAAGTTTAGAGATGAAAAACTGCCAAATTTTTTTTCAAAATCGTAAATTTTTTCAAATCATCTCAAAACAACAAATTGTAAGCATTTAATAGAATGTATAAATTTTCGATATTCTCTGACTGATGAAATGGTTTTCTGGTGATAATTTAAATGATTAACTCTTTTCTTATCACAGAAAAAGGGATTTGAATTGTTCCTTAAGTAAGGGATGACATGCTATCATATCACACAATATATCACTGCAAGGAAACATGTTTATGACGATTAAAGTTAATGATTGTAGAAAATGAAATTTGCAATATTTATGATTAAAAAGCGAAAATCCAAGTCAATAAGAAATCTTGTTTTATTGCAGTTTTTAAAAGTTACCTTTAATTGAAGCAAATAATATCGATTTTGTAATGCTTTAATATTTACGGTATTTTGTTTGTATCGGATGCAGGATATTCAGCAGTATAACGGTCAAAGTTCGAACTTGATTTACCCTGAAAAATTAATTGACCGAATCAATCGTTTTTCAGAGAAAAAAAGTGGATCAAAGGTCGCGCGATATAAAATATGTGCAATATAAAATTCTTATTCTGAGGCTCAGAAATTAGATATGATAAGTAACTTTTAGCTTAGGTAAAAGGATATTGTAATTTGTACGAAGTTTTAAATTAAATTAAGGTCAAAATTAAAATCTTTAAATTAAAAGCAAGTCGAAGTGAGGATGGAGCCTCGAGTGTTACTGCAGTAGGCAACTAACATTTCATTTTCTGGCAGAGGTCAAGATATGAACCAAACATTTTGATTTTTCAAATATTACTGCAGTGAAATTGATGATATCAGATAATCTTGAAATATTTTGACTTCAAAAACTTCCATATTAGCTTAATTTGTTGTTTAGATCATATCTAAAAATAAGTGCACTTACAAAATTCAGAAATCACTTCCTTTTTTTGAAAGTATATGTAATGAAAATGCTGGAATATTTGCACAAAGTTTGTTAATAATCAATTGAAAATATAAAAAACTTTGGAAAATTCAATCTTCAACTGCAATAATATGGAGCCGAAGAAGGATACGAATCCGAAGCAAATGCAATCTATAGGAAATTGTAAGTTGATGAGAAGCCTGGATCATCTTCTGGAATTCTTCTTTCAGAATCCGCTGGGGATGAAGACACAAGATGTTTGTACAAAGAACTTTTGGAAAGAATGATTTGATCACTTCTTGATAGTAATCCAACACTGAGACTAAATTTAAAAGAGATGAGCGACATTGATTAAGGTAACTTGATCCAATTTGAAACTTCTTGCAGTTTCTCTTTTTTTCATGCCTAACTCATCGTTAGACTTAATATGAGAAAAGTAAACGTGGAATTCTGAGATTTATGAGGATTATACAGGCTGCTGCATATAAATTTTATGAAGCCTTATTAGTTTGCAGGAATTTAACACCAATATCCTCGTATATCATTGCTGAAGCAAAAATTATCATGATCTGCTCAATGTCAATGTTTTCTGGAATATCTCACACAATACTTCACTGTTATTCACTTCCACGCACAATAAAATGTCCAGATTCAGATATTTAAAGGCAATCTATTCATATTTAAATATTCAAGGAAAATTCCATCGAAATTATAATAAACATTGTCAAAATCAATAAATCGGAAAGTAGCGACAAGTGAAATTTATCACTGAATTCACATTTCCCAGAAGTTATTTATTTACTGAATAATTTCATTTCGATGCTTTTTGACACCTTTATACGATAGCTTCATGTCTGGAGGATACATCCAATCATAGATTATTCAAATGTAATCTATATTTGAATAATAGCTTTGTGTTACCATGAATTCATGATTTAGTTAATTGATTTAGGACTTCATAATTTAGGACTGTCATTTATGTTAATTTATATTGAAAGATCCATTGGAAAAGTTAACTGTGCGCAAATATTATTAGTGCTCAATCTACTTACTACTTGATTGTTCAAAATTGCCCTTTAGGAAAACTCATTCCGAATTAAGGCATTGGCTTAATTTGCTCCACAAAATTTGGTATTCTCAATTGCTAACTGATTTTAACTTCATTCTGAAATTTTTAAATTACTGAAATATTATACCAAGATGAACAATATTAAATTTATTTGAACAAAGTGATTAAATTTGAACACTTTGTATTGTTTCTGTTCTTTCTTTTTTTTCTTCCCCCCTCCCTCCCTTCTGTATAAATATTTTTTTTATGCAGCATGGAAATTTAGAGTAAATGTTGGTGAAAATTTAAAAACAAGTAATATACTATCTACTTCAAAGGATGGATAACTAAAGTCAAAGAATGTAAAGCATAGGAATTGAAAATAAAGATGAATTTGGGAATCAATGATCAGCTTTTTTGTAATCTACTTTGGATATACCGTTGCACAAGCTTATATTCAACTTGTATGCAAAATTAATCGATGCTTATTTTCCTGAACTTATTTATGTCATTATTTGAAATTTTAAGAATGTAATGTTACTTAGAAAACCTGAAAATCTAAAGCACGTTTTGGTAGAAGCAAATAAAAAAGACATGAACAACATGAATTAGTTGGAAAGTTTTAGTAGCGAGAGCGCTGTATGAGCTTAGAAAAAAAAAATGCGGCCTGATAATACCGGAAGCTCGAAGTTATCGGTTGATCTGTTATTGTGATAAACCAAGTTACTTTATTAAATTATATTATTTAAATAAATTCATCCTGAAAAGATACGGAGGGAGCTTGCATAAATATATAGATAATTTATAAATATCTATATAGCTATGATTTCTAACCGGTGGTCTGTGCGAACTAAAATGTGGTCAACTAGGTGGTTAGCCAAAAATAAACAAGGTCTGTTCCTTATCAGTGTTTGGTAAACTAATCAAAATCAAAAGTTTTGATAAAGTTTATTTTCAATCTAATCGAATTTATTATTTTTAAATTTTTGAATTCTTGCTACAAATAAAAAAACCAAAGTGGTCCGTGGTCAAGAAAAGGCTGAGAACCACTAGTATTTATGAATGTATATGCTCTCTTGCCTTTAACTTCCCATTATGAATTGCTGTTAAAGTTCAGGATTGTTATGAAAGGAAAAACCTGTTTCCATTTTTATTTCAGTCATAAATTTCAACTTTCTTGATTGGAAAATCATGAAATAAGATAGAGGACGAGAGGGAAAGAGGAAAGGCATTTCAGATGAGTTCTTAAATTACAAGCATGATTCGATTGTATTTGCTCGGTTGAAAATTGAAAAGAAAATAGAAAAAAGTATTTGAGAAGAGAAAAGCTATCATGTAAATATATATGTATATATATATATATATATTTTATTTGAAGCTTTGTGCTGGCCTTTTCCAGTCAATTTTCAGTCGAAAAGTACGCACTCCGAAAAACGGCTTTAAATTTCAATTCAAATTGAAAGAAATAGAGAGAAATTGGTTCTTTTTGGAATACATCAAATCAATGCTTTTTTTTTTGCTGCAGTACTTTTTTGAGTCATTTCAAAAAAAAAACAAAAATGAAATTTCAAGTCCAAAAAAGAAAGAACATTTTGTGAATATCATGGAAATAACAATAAAAATAATAATAGCATCAAATATAACAATAACAACGTCATTATTGTTAATGCTGTTGTTGATCAGCGACGATAACAATAACAATAACGATAATAATAATAGTAATAATAATAATTAAAAAATAATAATAATAATAATAATTAATAATAATAATAATAACAATAATAATAATAATGATAATGATAATAATTAATAATAATAATAATAATAATAATAATAATAATAATAATAATAATAATAATAATAATAATAATAATAATAATAATAATAATAATAATAATAATAATAATAATAATAATAATAATAATAATAATAATAATAATAATAAT